TGCCAGAATTGGTCTGTGCTGCGCTGAAAAAGCAAAGGGGCACACACAAACAATTCCTGCTGGGAATTACGGCCCAACAAAAGCCCGTCTGGCTCCATGGCCAGGGGCCACCACTGCCTGTTTGAGATTCATTTTATCATGTGAACAGAGCAGCTCCCAAGCACAGGCTCAGCCCACAAAAAGCATCACCACAGCCAGGGATATCTCCTATACTATTAACAAAAATAAGTATTTTCTTTCTTTATCTATAATATATAAATAGATGATCATTTGCTTTTATTAATGTAGCTAAATATATCTTATGAATAAGTTATTTGGAGAACATCATCTCTAAGTCAGCAAGTGCTGTTATATCCAGTGAAGGAAATCTTTACTAATGGTCCTTTGAAGTACTTTAATTACCAAGCAGCCAATTATGGAAGTCTTAAGTCAGTTTTCCCGCTGCCAAAAGATTGATTCTTGGACATGATCCACACTTTGCACCTGTTAGAAGCGAAAATGTGGCTCTCTTTTTTTTAAAGGTTCCTCTCCTCACACACAAACCCCCTCCTCAGTGACCAGTGCGACCTTCCACTCAACACTGACAACTTCAAAAGTACAAACAATTGGCACCAAATCAGTCAAACCACTTCAACAGCAACCCTGAAACTAAAGCAAAGCCAGAGTAACCTCCAACCACATCCTAACTCAGTCCTTATTAGTGCAACTCTGACACAGAACCTTCCTACAGGCAAAGACATCTGTAACCCAAACAAGTGTAAAATGATAAAAAAACCCCCACACTGCATGGAAAAATCCCAAAGGATTAGTGTCAGAAAACATTTGGCAGCAAGAGATTGGAAAAACCCACGAAGGCCTGACAGGAGAGAGTGGCTACACCAGTCATTTCAGGGGAGGCTGTCGAAGCAGAACTGCTGCAGGAAGGTTTTGTTATTCGAGCTTTTCATCTCCCTCCTCCACATCCTTCAGGTTGAGCACTTCCAGGGATCCCTTCCCTTTGGTCTCACTCCGGATCAGCTCGTCGATCTCTCGGAAGCAGCCTGGGTCAACAAGGCACACCTGGAATGTTCCACACCACAGTCAAGCAAGAACATCGGAATTTCATCAGGCCCTAATCAAGGCCTAACATTAATTTTCATTAAAAAAACCCATTTAGTTACTAAGAAGGTCTTGGCAGTATCTTCCAGGTAATCTAATCTAATCTTCCCCCTGAATTTCTGCAGTTCCAGTTCCCCATGCTGGACATGGCTTTTCCCAGTTGGGATTGCTGGATTCTAATCTGTTTTCAAAGAAGATTTTTACAAATACCAAATTTTGCTTTCCCACAGACTTTTAAAAAGAAATAATTAACCACTAATAAATAATAAAATATAATACAATAATAAAACACAGGCTTGAGCCACCACATAAATAACAGTAACATTCCACACATGCAGAAAAACTTATCAGTGTGGCAGGACAATCAATGCTCAGAGAAACTGCACTGGGCTTCTGCTCAGCTTGGAGCAGCAATCTCTGGATAACAAAGGTTGCTCCCATGCTCACATCCTTAGGATGATATTAAAAACCCCAAAGAGCAGCTCTGATTCAGTTCCACCTTCCATCTATGAGTTCACCTTCTACTAAAATACATAGTCAAGTCAAGTATGAAGCCCAGGGACTGCTTTTTGCTTACAATTTCCAGCTGCTCCTGGAAGTCCTCGCTCTCAATAACTTTAATCAGTGGCTTGAGCTTCTCTTTCAGCTTCTTGCCCTCCTTTGGTGGGAGGATAAACCTCAGCCTCATGTGAGCACGTTCAATTTGCATGGTCTCCTTCAGCTGCCTGATCACTTCCAGGGCCTGGAAGGACATGAAGAGCATTTACACACCTGCTTCAAAACCACCACACACATCAGAATCTGTTCAACCCTTTGCACCAGCTTCAGACCCATCTCTCAGTGCTGGTCACTACCACTCTGCTGCAGGGAGGTTGCTGTCACACTCTTTTTGTCAGATTAACAAGAAAAAGCAAAGTTCTTGCTGTCAGTGATCACTACAAACACTTAAAAACCTTGTCTAAAATAAAATTAAATACCAGTTACACTGCAAAACACCACAAACCCAGGTGGTTCAGATGCAAAGGCTGATATATAACACCTCAGTTGGGATAAATCACAAACCTTTAATTTCTGTTCCATGTGTACCACTGTTGCTGTTTTATTTACGTTTCTTTCTTTCTCCATTCTCCGAATTCTTAGAAAACAAATTGCCTGAGTTTCAGGAGCTGCTTGTATTCAGCTGCCAGATGGCTGAGTAATCCCTCTGAGGGCTCACATGCCGGGGTTTTGCTGATCCCTGTGTGACAGGGAGCTGAGGAATTACACCAGAGCGCAGCACCTCGGAGCAGGAGCTGGTGTTGCAGGAAGACTCACCTGCTGCTTGGTGCTCTTGTTGGGTTTGACAGAGTAGTGGATGTCCTTCATGGCTCTCTCTATGAGGATCACTGTGTAGGGCCTCTTTGTTTCGGGGTTCACACATTTGTCAGCCACGATGGTCGCGATGTCTCGGAACATCTGCTCCAGCTGCGTGTGGCGCTCTTTGTCTGATACCTGCAGCTCCCCTTTGGATAAAATCTGGGTTGTAACAATAAAGAAACCAGTTAAGAAACATCATGGGTGTGAAGAGTGGAAATTCCAGTAACTTTGTTAAATTTAACCATTGTTTGAGTGGTTTGGGTAGATGTGTGAAGTGCGGAAAACAAAAAATCACATTGATAAAGTGAATCGTTACGAGGGCTCTGGAAAGACTTCAGACAAAAAAACTCACCATGGAAACTACAGTGAGGGAGGCACAGATTTCACAGAATCATAGAATATCCTGAGTTGGAAGGGACCCCCAAGGATCACCCAGTCCAGCTCCTGGCCCTGCACAGACACCCCAACAATCTCACCCTGTGCCCCAGAGGATCAGCCAAACCCTCCCTGAGCTCTGGCAGCCTTGGGGCTGTGCCCACTGCCCTGGGGAGCCTGGGCAGTGCCCAACCAGCCTCTGGGGGAAGAACCTTTGGCTGAGATCCAACCTGAGCCTGCCCTGACACAGCTCCAGCCATTGCCTGGCTGCTGGCCCTGCTCACAGAGAGCAGGGATCGGAGCTGCCCCTCAGGAGAAGCTGCAGCTCTGCCCTCAGTCTCCTCTGCTCCAGCTGAACACACCAAGTGCCCTCAGTGCCCTCACACGGCTTCAAATCAAGGCCCTTCCCCACCCTCATGGCCTCCTTTGGACACTCTCCAATGGCTCAATCCCTTCCCTACATTGTGTCCCCCCAAACTGCCCCAGTGTTGCAGGTGAGGCCGCCCCAGGGCAGAGCAGAGCGGGACAATCCCCTCCCTGGTGCCCCCAGGACAGGGTTGGCCCTCCTGGCTGCCAGGGCACTGCTGACTCATGAGATTTACTTGAATTCTTATCACTCACAACAAGCCCACAGTTCCTATCCAACCAAGAAGGATCAAGAGATTGGATCTGTTATTAACACTTAAGTGAACTGTCCAAAGTAAGCAACTGTCCACTTATCTTAGGTGAGGAACTCTTCAGTGCTCAACATCAGTGCAGAGAAGCTGTCTGTTAGAACACCCAGAACTCTTTTCAGCCAGATGCATACATAAAATTTAAGACTATAAAACAGAGTTCCTAGTCCTTTTTACTCATTTCATAACAAACAACTACAGCAGCATTCTGCAAACAGTACAAACCAACCTACTGTGTGGCTGTAAGTCTTCTCCAAGCTTTTTTAAAGCTAAGTGTGTAAAACTTACCATCTTACAGATTTCTGTTTGGTCATCTGTCCCAAATGCCTGAACCAGGTCTTCCTTCTTCGCCACCTGGCCTTTGGAAACATTGACAAACACAGTGTGTGTCTGCAGGACCTCGTCGAGATCCTTCTCCCTAGAGAAAAGGACGGGGTTAGAAACCTTCACAGAATCATCCCAGAATGGGATGGGTTGGAAGGGACCTTAAAGATCACCCAGATCAACGCCCTGCCATGGGCAGGGACACCTTCCACTAGCCCAGGTTGCTTCAAGTCCTGTCCAGTCTGGCCTTGGACACTTACAGGGATGGGGCCTCCCCACCCTCACAGGGGAGAATTTCTCTCTAATACCCCTTTTAACCCTGTTCTCCATCAGCGTGAAGCCACTCCCCCTTGCCCTGCCACTCCAGGCCCTTGTCCAAAGTCCCTCTCCAGCAAAGCAAGGAGCTCATCAGTGTTTAAACAAGGAACAGCTCCTGCTGCCCAGGGCTGGATCAGCAGAGCCTGAAAACCTCCATCTCCGAGGTGTCATTGCCCAGGGACTCCCGCACCATCTCCCGGGGGTCAGGCCCGGGTACCGGGGCAGCTCCACGGCCGGGTCACACAGGGGTCACTGCCGAGGGCGCACACGGGCTCCCAGGCAGGGCCCCCGGTCCCTCTGCCGGGTCCCCACATGGGCCCATCCCGGTCCCCACACGGGTCACTCCCAGTCCTTTTCCCGGTCCCCACAAGGGCCGACCCCGGTCCTTCCCCGCTCCACACACGGGCCCATCCCGGTCCCCGCACGGTCCTTCCCCGATCTCCACGCGGTCTCTCCCCGCTCCCCACACGCTCCCTCCCCGCTCCTAACACGGGCCCATCCCGGTCCCCATATGGGCCCTCGCCGCTCCCCACACGGGCCCATCCAGGTCCCCACACGGGCCGATCCCGGTCCTTCCCCGCTCCCCCCCGGGCCGCGCCGCCGCCCCGCCGGCTCCCCGGGGCACTCACGCTCCGCTGCGCCAGCCCATGACCTTGTTGCGGTAGCAGGCGATCTCGAAGCGCTTGCCGGCGCGCCGGGCCCGCACCACGGCCACGTTGGTGAGGCGGATCTGGTTGGTGGGGGTGAAGATGGACATGGCGGCGGCCGCGGCCCTGAGCCGGCCCCGCCCCGCCCGGCCCGGCCCGGCAGTGAACGGCGGCCCGGCAGTGAATGGCGGCGGGGCGGGGCGGGCGGAAGGGGCGGGAGCGGCTCATGGCGGGCTGAGGGCAGCGCCGGCCGGGGCGGCGGGGTCAGTGCGGGGCCGGCGGCGCGTGGTACTAATGAAAGTGTAATAACAGCGAGGGGAGGATGTAATAACCACCTGTGTGTGTGTGTGTGGAGTAACTCTGAGATGGGGCTGGGGGTGGGGGTGGGGGCGGGCGTGTGTGGGGTAATAACCGTGAGGGGAGTGTGTGTGGTACTACTACTACTAACACTAACAATGAGCGGGCATATAACCACGTGTGTGTGTGTGGAGTAACGGTGAGATGGGGTGTGAACCGTGGGGGTATAACTGTGATGGTGAGGGGGGACGTGTGGGATCACAGCCGTGGAGGGGGATTTGGGGGGTAGTAACCGTGAGGGGAAGGCGTGGTAATAATAATAATAATAATAATAATAATAATAATAATGGCAACTGCGAGGGGGCATATAGTAACCGTGTGTGTGTGTGTGTGTGGAGTAACTGTGCGATGGGGGTATGGACCGTGAGGGTATAACAATGGTGGTGTGGGGGCGTGTGTAGTGATAATAATAATAATAATAATAATAACAACAACAACCGTGAGGGAGGGTGTAATAAGCAGGTGTGGGGGGGTAACTGTGAGACGGGGGTATGGACCGTGAGGGGTATAACAATGGTGGTAGGGGGACGTGTGTGGGATAATAACCATGGGGGGGTAATAATAATAATAATAATAATAATAACAACAACAACAACAACAACTGTGAGGGGGGATGTAATAACCAGGTGTGTGTGGGGGGACTGTGAGATGGGGGTATGAACCGTGAGGGGTGAGGGTACAACTGTGATGGGGGGGGTGGTGTGTGGGATAATAACTGTGAGAGGGGTGTGTGATAATTAATAATAATAACAACGACAGTGAGGGGGTGGATGTAATAACCGTGTGTGTGTAATAACTGTGTGATGGGGGTATGAACCATGAGGGGTATAACTGTGATGGGGGGGATATAACTGTGATGAGGGGGTGTGAGTGTGGGATCACAACCGTGGAGGGGGATTTGGGGGGTAGTAACCGTGAGAGGAGGGTGTGTGGTGGGGTAAAAACTGGGGGAGAAGGGATATAATAACTCTGTGTGTGTGTGTGTGTGTGTGGTGATAACTGTGGGAGGGTTGTGTGTGTGTGTGTGGGGAGAGATGGAGAAATTACCCGTGAGGAGTAGGGGGGTATAACCACGGTGGTGGTGGAGGGGGGTAATAACTGTGAGGGGTGTGTGGGGGAGATGGGGTATTAACCATGAGGGGTGGAGGGGGTACAACCATGAAAGGGGGGTAGGGTGGGGTAATAACTGTGAGGAGGGCGTGTTTAACAATTTGGGGGTATAATAACTGCGGGAGGCAGAGGAAAGTGGGGTCATAACCCTGAGGGGTGTGTGGGAGAGAGAAGGGATGTGAATTGTGAGTGGTGGGAGGAGGAATAACCATGAGGGTGGTGTGTGTGTGTGTTTGTGTGTGTTTGTGGGGGGGTAATAACCATGAGGGGTGTGGGGGTAAGAAGTGGAAGGGGGGAGTGTGTGTAGGGGGATAATAAGAGGGAGGGGTAATAATAATAATAACTGTGAGGGGAGTGGGATGGGTGTGAGTAATAACCATGAGGGGTGGGGGTGAAGGGGTCGGGGTAATAATGGGGGGGGGAAATGGGGTTAATAAGGGTGAGGGTAATGACTGAGGGGGGGTGTGTTTGGGGTAATAACCATGAAGGATGGGTCTGTGGGGGTTAATAACTGTGAGTGTGTAATAACCATGTGTGGGGGGGTTAATAACTATGGAGGGGGTGTAGGAGTGAGGGTAATAAATGAGGTGGTTATGGAGGGGGGTGAGAGTTCTGTGTGAGGGGCCTGTACAGAAGGGGGTCAGCACAGAGGAGGGATTAAATGGGGTGGGCTTGGGGGGTGGTGTAGAGGGGCAGGGTCCTGGGTAGGCACAGGGCTGAGGGATGGGGGGCAGCTCCAGTGGGGGGTCAGGGAGTGGGTTTTGGGTGCTATGGAGTAATTGAAGGTGGGACATACAGAGGGTGAGGAGGAGCAGGGTACTTGAGCTGCAGCAAGTTTTTGGAGCCTCCCTTGAGGGATTGCTTCTGGGGTGGGCTGGCAGCACTGGGGCTGCCCACTGGCAGGTGCTCTTGGCTTATCTCTTTTGGGATGCTCAGTGTTGCTGCTGGAGGGGGTGACGGGCATCCCCTCAAACCTTTGAGCTGGTAATGTGAGTAACAGCCCAGGGGAAAAGTAGGAGAACAGTTTCCAGCCTCCTGGGAATGCTTGGATTCTGTGCTCTTGTCTGATATTTGCAGAAACGAGGTCCGAGGGGGCTGCAGGTGACAGTAGGAGGATGTCAGCTGTGTTTCTCACTAAATAAGTGTCACAAACCAGCCTTTTTTAAGCACCTGAATGTTTCCTATGAAATAGGTGTTCACAGGCACCACACAAGCTCATTCCTGGCTGGGGTGTTCTGTACCTTGAATGTACTGAACCAACTTGTAACATCTCAGTTGTTCCAAGTCAAGCTTCACTTGCACCACACAATTCTGAGAAAGTGCTTCCAGTTCAATGCAGGTTTCAGTCTGCCCTTGAAACTCTGTTTGTAATCAGCGTAATATCTGATGTGTGTAAGCAAGGGTTGGGTTCAGCAGCAAACTGGAGGTGATTCCCCCTTGAACTGGAGCTTTCTAGTTCCAGAGATCTGCACTCGTGTCAAACTCAGGCCGGTATGATCCAGTGGATGTTTCAAAAGGATTTTTTACTTTCAGGCACTTGCACAGCTCAAATATTTGCTACTTTTCCTTATAACAGAGGTGCCCTATAAAGAAAAACCCCAGAATATCCAGACTCAGAATCTAAAATATTAGCTTGGAGCTCAGCTGATGCACCTGAGGAGGTGATGGCTTCTTGATTCAGTTTTAATGCCTTGTCTTTAGCCAAAACCTGTTTTCTGCAGAGCCTGGGGAGTAGCTGATGCCATGATGAGACTGTGGGGACTGTGTGGTTGTTTTCTGTGTGCTCATTCCATATTCATACTGTCGGAATCTGTGACTTTTTCCAGATTTAGATGTCTCAATGGATACGTGGAGCTACTTCTGTACTTGCCTGGCATCCATATGGCTGCACAGATTTTACATCTACTCTGCTGCTGCTTTGGGGATCAGCCTTTGGATTGTCATTCAGTTCACCACCACCAAAACCAAAAAGAAGGTAACTGAACCTGTGAGCACTTTTGTCTGAGGACACCCCAAAACCCCGTGAGTGGAAGTGAGGAGTTGCTGGGTGAAGGCACCCACTGGTGCAGTGAAATGGGCCCACCTAGAGTTTTGCAAATCCCAAATGCTCTTTAGTTCATGTGGATATAATTCTCAGTTTGGATTCTTTTATGTTTGAGAGTCACTAAAAGCTCCTGTTGCTCTGATTTTGGAGCAGATCTCAGCTGGACACTTGTCACGTTGTGTCTGTCACTCCAAGGAAATCCCTCTGCTTGTGCCTGGTGTTTTTACCTTTGTGTTTTCAGTGATGGTAATGACAAGGTTGGACTGGTTTTAGGATGGGAGTGGGATTGGGCCATTCAGGAGTTGAAAACCTCCTCCTGCAGGTGGTTGAAGTTCTGCTGCAGGAGTCTGGGAGGCTCAGCTGGATCCTTTTATCTCCCAGATATTGGAGCATGGCCTGGGTCAGGGAAACACTTCCTGGTGTGTTTGTCTGACAGTCTGGCCACAGTATTTGAATTTTAAATGCTTTTGGTTTGACATCAGTTGCAGAGGGGATGGAATTTGACACAACTCCTGTTTCATAGGGTGAAAAATCCAGTGGGAATCCCTCTTCCTCCAAAGGAACAGAAGACAAGCTGGTAAATGGATGTGTCACCCCTCAGGCAGAGGAGGTGTATGTTGCTGGAGTAAAGATCTTCTATGGCTCTCAGACTGGCACAGCAAAGGTATCAGTTACTTTTGTTTCACATTTGTGAAAAAGATCTGAAATATCATTGGGATTCAAGTATGTTGCTTGTCTTAAAACACTGCACTGGGTACAAATCTGAGAGTTCATTAGGAGGTTCATTAGCTCGTTACAAGTCATTGCCCAACACAAAAGATAAGTGAAAATTCTATAAAAATAACATTTTTCCCCCTCCTTTTAAGTGGGGCCTGCAGGATATTGATTATGAAGCTTCAAGTTTACTCTTACAGTATAATTTTAATTTGCCAGCAGGTCTTCATAGAAAGAGGTGCTGGTTTTGGTGCTTTCTCAAAAAGAAATGGCATTTGTGTGTGGAAATGTAAAGCCATTAAAATTCATGGAAGTCTCAGCCAGTTACTTCATGTTTTTAATGTGAGGAGTTACAGGCCCAGTGTCCAGGTCTCAGGTGTTCTTCCCGTGCTGGGAGAGGTTTTGTGGCTGAGCACAGCAGGGCTGGTGTGGGTTGAAGGAATTGATAACTTCCTCTATGTTTCTTTTTTCCAGAGATTTGCCAAAGCTCTGGCTGAAGCTGTTACTTCCCTTAATTTGCCTGTGGAAGTCATTAACATGGGAGACTATGACCCAGATGATTGTTTAGCAGAGGAGGTGGGTATGACATAGATAGGAATAATAAATACAAGTTTTTTCCTGGGATTCTCAAGGCTGCTTTCCTCATTTATTTCTCTCCTGTTCTGAAAATCCTCAAAGCTGTGTGTTGCAAATTGTTTCCCTGCTATATAAGCAAGTGTAGCCCATCAGCCCTCAGCAGAAAATACCAAAATTTTGAAAATTACTGGGAAAGCATCACACAGAACATTCTGAAGCTGACAGTGACCTTGTATGAGCCAGTTCTGTAACTCAGGGGTGACAGTGGCTGCACCAGGTCCCCTGTTCTCTGTGTGCACCTGGGCAAGGCTTTAAAGCCAGAACAAGCAGCTGGTGATGCTTCTGCAGCTTTTATAGGCTTACAAGTTAGAAACTCCTTGTGAGGTGTGTGGAGTAACCCTTGATGGGTTTTTCTTCTGTGAGTATTGCTGGTTTTAATTAATCCTAACAAAATGTTTTGGTTGTATCTCCCTGCCTGTGGGAATCGTGTGTTGGAAGTTCCTGAGGGTTTCAGTGTGAGTTGTCAGCACTGGATACTGCCCCTAACAAACCTGGAAATGTGAGGTTGGGAAGTTTTAGATATTTATCCATGGGGCACTTTGTGGTGAAGGAGTCTGTAGTTTTAAATATTTATCCGTGGGGGACTGTGGTGAAGGAGTCTGGTCAGGAAGCTGCTGACTGGGGAAGGAGTAATGGATACAAATTGAAAGAGGGGAAATTTAGGTTAGATATCAGGAAGAAATTTTTTTACTGTGAGGGTGGTGGAACACTGGCCCAGGTTGCCCAGGGGAGGTTGTGGATGCCCCAGCCCTGGAAGTGTTCAAAAGCCAGGTTGGATAAGGCCTTGAGCAACCTGGTCTAGTGGGAGATGTCCCTGCCCATGACAGGGGGTTGGGACTGGATGATCTTTAAGGTTCATTCCAACTCCTTAACATTGTATGATTCCAGGAAGATGTCCCGTTCTGCTCACTGTGTCCCTGTCCAGGGGACAGGTCGGTCACCACCACTGGGATTGTCACCTGCTCCATCCCATCTTGTCTTTTGGCTCCTTCCAGCTGCCCCCGTGTTCCAGCTCTTTTCCTGATGCCAAGTGTTTTGGATAATGCAGTGATCTTGTCTCTCCTGTTGTGTCCCTGTGGTCAGACAACCAGCAGGAACATCTGTGTGTTCCTGGTGGCCACGTACACGGATGGGCAGCCCACGGAGAGCGCGGCCTGGTTCTGCAAGTGGTTGGAAGAGGCAGCCAACGATTTCCGTGTTGGGAAAACCCACCTGAAGGGGCTCAGATACGCCGTGTTTGGCCTGGGGAACTCGGTGTATGTGGATCATTACAACACAGTAAGTGTGTCCCCCGTCCTTCCTTCTTGGTTCCTGCTCCTCCAAGAGCCTCAGCTGGATGAACAGCTTCAAAAGTGAGCAGTGCTGGTGGATTGGGTGGGAATTGCAGCTGTTTGCAGACTTGAGGGACTGGGTTTAAGGCACAAGTAGAATTATAGGATCACTGAGGTTGGAAAAGGTCTCCAAGATCATTGAGTCTAACCTGTGCCTGATGCCAACCCTGTCCCCCAGCCCAGAGCACTGAGTGCCACCTCCAGGGATGGGGACTGCACCACCTCCCTGGGCAGCCCCTTCCAGTGCCTGACCACCCTTTCCATGGAGAAATTCCTTCTGTTGTCCAACCTGCCCCTCCCCTGGCACAGCTGGAGGCCGTTCCCTCTCCTCCTGTCCCTTGTTCCCTGGGAGCAGAGTCCGACCCCCCCAGCTCCCCCTTCCTGTCAGGGGGTTGCAGAGCCAGAAGGTCCCCCCTGAGCCTCCTTTTCTCCAGGCTGAGCCCTCCCAGCTCCCTCAGCTGCTCCTGCTGCTCCAGACCCTTCCCAGCTCCATTCCCTTCCCTGGACACGCTCCATCCCTTCAGTGTCTCTCTTGTCAGGAGGAGCCCCAACCTGCCCCCCAGGATCGAGGAGGTGCCCCAGCAGTGCCAGCACAGGGGGACAGTCCCTGCCCTGGGCCTGCTGCCACACCACTGCTTGTAGAAGCCAATGCCATTGGCCTTTTTGGGGCCACTTGGACAGGGCAACTTTGAAGCAATTGTGCTGCCCTTTTAAATGGGAAGGGAGTCCCATATGCACTGGGAGATGTGGGAATACACCTGGTAAACCCTTGCTGAGTTCATTTCCCAGCTTGGAAAGCTTTCTGTCAGCACGTGAGGGTACAGGTCTGTAAACGTTCTCACTTGCTGCCTTCTAGTTTACAGGGCTTTCCTCAAACCTGGCTACTTTGTGTGTTGTGGATTTTAGCTTTATTCCCTGAGGTAAACTGTGACAGTATCTTTGCCTGGTCATTGGTGTCGCCTCGCTCATTAAAAATGGTATCTCCTGTCCCCAGGTTGTTGTGTTTGCAGCTGGGGCCACGTGAAATGTGTTACACACCTTGAGCATCAGGCATCACACAGAGCAGCTTGTTCCCAGAGCTGTCCCTTGCCACACCTGTGTGACAGCAGAGGGATTTCCCAACGATCTGAGGGAGTGTGGGGTGTTCAGGCTGCCTTGTGTCTGCGCTGAGGGGCTCCACGAGTCCCTGCCCTGCAGTCCTGTGCAGCTCGCTAGCTCTCCTTCCAGGCTTGACCCTTGCTTTTTTTTTTAGTTTCCTGCTTTCCTTTGGACTGGGTTTAATATCCCTGCCCCTTTGCTGCTGTCCCAGGTTGGCAGGAGGATGGACAGGTGGCTGTGGATGCTCAGTGCCAGCCGTGTGATGACCCGCGCCGAGGGTGACTGCAACGTGGCGCGGAGCAGGCACGGCAGCATCGAGGGCGACTTCGAGGCCTGGAAAGCCAAATTCCTCACTCGGCTCCAGGCCCTCTGCAGAGGGGAGAAGAAGCCCTGCAGTGGGAAGTGCAAGAAAGGGAAGTGCAAATCTCCAGGGAAGCAGAGCAAGGAGAGCTCGGATCACGAACACGGGGCATCGGAGCACGAGAATACTGAGGTACAGCCACAGTCCTTGAGGCCTCAGTACTGGGTCAGTGCCCCTTTGGCTTCTCTCCTTCCTCCTCCAACCCACAGGGATGCTGTGGGAGCCTGATACTTTGTTCTGGAGCAGAGGGGGATGAGGGATGAGAACCCATGGCTGATAATATGTGGAATGAACCATCCAAAAAGAATTAGTGCTGGACCCAGCTAGGTGGCATTTATGTGGTGAGGGAGTCTTGCTCCTGACTGGGGTGAGGTTTGTGTTGTGGCAGATGCTCCAGTCTGAGTTCTGGGTTCTCATCAGAGCCTTTGCTTTGTCCCATGGCCAGGTGAAGCATTTAGTTCCCTGAGAGCAGTTAACCTGCTTCCACTTCATCCTGGTGCAGCTTAGCTTGTCTGCCTGCATCCCAAGGTTTTTCCAGAGGCAGCTGGGGGAGTGTTACCTGGGCAAGTCCTGTATTTCCTCTGTGTGTATCTGCCTGTATTCATTTGTGTCTCTTCTGGAGTGTTGATTGCAGATTTTGAGTAAGAGATCCTCTTTCCTACTCTGCAGTGCAAGATCCAGAGCTGCTGTGGCACTTTAACCTTCCCTCAAGCCATTTAATGTGGGTTGGGAATGTTTGCTGTGGCCTTGGGGAATTTTGTAGGACAATAAGTGTCTCTTCTGGCTGATTTGGGGAGTGCTGGTTGCTGCAGGGGCAAGAGGAATAAATCTTGCTGTTACACCAGTGCTGTTGTGCTGTACCTTGGATCTGTACAGAAAGAGAGAAACTTTTCTGCTCTGTGGAGAGTTTACCTTGGAAAGCAAATCCCTCTCTCCCTGTTCATTCATCCAGGAGCACTTTGAGGGTTTAAAGGGCTTCAGGCTTCCATGCACATCCTTCAGGTTATTAGTAGGATATTCCTTGTTTTCAGAGGTCTTCACTAGTAAGGAGTTATCTCACTTAGATAAAAGGTGTTATGTTTAACATTCAGATAAATTCTTAATTGTTTTTCTCTGATCTCTCCCACAGGCAGAGGAATTGTTTGAAACCAGTAGTGAGGAGGAAGCTGATGCTGAGGAAGCTGGAGGCACCAATTCTATCATTGATGTTGAAGATCTTGGCAATATCATGGGCCACATGAAGAAAGCAAAGGTACTGCTGTTCCTGTGGGTATGGAATGGTCAGGTCTTTGCCACTGATCAGTTGGATTGTTTCAAATATTATTGCCTGGATGTGAATCTGTAGGGTTTGGTTGTGGGAGAGTAAAATATGAGCTCTTGGAGAGCCTGTCCCAAAAAGTAACATACTTTGGAGGTGTGCTGGAGGTAGGTACAGACCAACTGTGACTTGTTCCCCAAGTAGATGTTGCAGTGGTAAGGTGTTGTTTTCAGTCTGAGAGAAGATTTACACCAACCTCTGTCTGTAGTTACACCTTCCTTACCTTGGGAGCCTCTGCAGTGTGGGCTTCCCACGGCTCTGGCTCTTTCCCAGGATGAGGCCCTGGCACAGGTTGCCCAGAGAAGCTGTGGCTGCCCCTGGATCCCTGGAAGTGTCCAAGGCCAGGCTGGACGGGCCTTGGATCAACCTGGGCTAGTGGAAGGTGTCCCTGCCCATGGCAGGGGGTGAGATGGTCCTTAAGGTCCCTTCCAGCCTCAGCTGTTCTGGGATTCTGTGAAAATACAAGGATTTCCTCAGTGGTCTGAGCTGAGATGGCAGCACTGGGACACCCCAAACCAGGCCCTGCCTCACAGGAGGCTGTGTCTGGGGAGGGGACAGTGTTACAGGGAGGGCATTGGCATCTCTGTTCCTCACCTTAGGGAGGGGGAAGGAAGTAAATAAAACAGTTCCTGCTGTTTGTAACAATCTCTGTGAGGAGAGCAGCCCCACTGACCTGGGGGCAAGGCAGGCTCTTGGGAGGGGACTCTGTCCCTGAGTTTGGATGGACTTGTGCACTGCAGCTGGTGAGGGGAGGGTGGCTGACCCTTTGGCTTTGATCTGGAGGGAGGAAGGATCAGTGTTTTCCCGGTGGAACTGTGGTCCTTTCCCCTCTCCCTCCTTCACTCACCACTAGAGGTCAGCGGCCAACAGGGAACTGCTGAATCCTGGGCCCAGGAAAGGGACGTGGTGACATCCAGCAGTTCTGTGGAGAATTAGGCCCTGGCTTTTCACTGACTGACAAAATGTGGCAACACCGTGATGGAGGAGTAGAGTAATGCAGGAAAACCACGTGTCACAGCCCAGTTTGTGAATAAAAAGTGAGCACAGCAATAAAATACTTCCTGCTCTTCACTTCTCCAGCTCGGCCTGCTGGTGGTGAGCAGGGCTGAAGTCACTGTGGTGTGGGTTTATACACAGGCAGTGGAGATTCCCTGCTCTCTGTGCCTTTGTTTAAAGATTCAAACCACTTTCTCCTCAGCTTTCTTGCTGCTCTGCTCGGGCAGTGGGAGGCCTGTGTGTTGTAGTACTTGCAGTTCTCTGGTAACCTGTATGTCTGTGTTGATCAGGTTCCTGTGGCTGTGACCCAAGTGCCTGCCCCTGATCAGAGGGGCAGCTGCTGCCTGAGCACAGACACTGCCCTCGAGCTGAGCTGTTTGTGTCTGAGCACAGACACTGCCCTCCAGTTGAGCTGTAGTTTCTGAGCACAGACACTCACCTGAAGTTGAGCTGTAGTTTCTGAGCACAGACACTTCCCTCAAGTTGTGAGCTGTAGTTTGTCTGAGCACAGACACTCACCTGAAGTTGAGCTGTAGTTTCTGAGCACAGACACTGCCTTCAAGTTGAGCTGCAGTTTGTGTCTGAGCTCACACACTCACCTCAAGTTGAGCTGCAGTTTCTGATCCTTTGAGCTTTCTCCTTGGAGGAGATGGCAAAGGTGTTCTGTTGTGCCAGGTGAATGCTGCCCTTTTGCAAATGGTTAAATCCTGAGGGTGCAAGGGTAGGTGTGGAATTAAAAGTTCACTCAGCGTGCCTGGAAGTGTCCTGGCCCTTTGGGATATGAGCTGTTGTCAGCTGATGGACAGGAGGCCCTAAAACTTGGATCAGCCTTTGTCACTGATGCCACAGAAGTGTGCTGCTGTGGCCACGTCCTTTTTTTTTTTTTTTTTGATTAAATTTAAGACCTTAAAAGCTGTAGTTCTCATTACTGGCCCCTTTATTCCCGTTCTGCATGGCACATCTGCCCGGCTGCAATCCACATTTCTGGTTTCATGCTCCTGCAACCAGAGCAGGGAGTGGAGAAAGGGCCCTCTTGGGGTGCCTGGGGTGATGTGTCAGCATTCCAGGAGGGAGCCTGAGCTGATGGCCGTGCCTGGGAGGAAGGATGGCTTTGTGCTGGTGCTGACTCTGCTGGGGAATGTGCACAGGGACAGGTTTGTGCAAACCCTTGAGCCGTGAGAGGACCCCATAGGTGCAGTTGTTTACTGTGATAAAAATGAATGCTGAGGGCTGGATATGAGAGAGCAGATGATCTGCATTTATGACAATAATTCATCACAACCAGGCTCTCTTGCTGCCAGGCAGGAAGCTGTAGTTGTTCAAATCCTTCTCAGTTGAAGTCCCATCCTCTCTTTGGAGTTTGTGAGAATTTTCCTCTGTCAGGTGAGTTGTGCTCTCCCTTTAGCCATCTTTCCTCTCATGGAATTCTGAACAGTATAAAATTAATCTGACATTTATTTTACACTGAGGTAACTTGTCCTGCAGTAAATCCTTACCCCCACAGGGAATTGCTCTGGGGGTTTCTACCTGAGCTATTCACATACAAGTTTGAGAGAAACTTTTGTATCTTCAGGGTTATATCACAGGCAGTTCTTCATCCTCAGAGTTACTTGGATTTGGAGTGGGCAGAAGGGTTTCCAGCATGGTTTTTTTGGGTGTCAGTGTTGTGTGGTCACCCCTCTGCACGTGGGGGGTGGAACAGCAGGTCCTGCCTCGTGCAATGTAGACAATTTGAAATGTTTTAAGGTCCAGCTTTGACCTCTTCTGTGTTGCCTCTTGTGTGATTCACTAGCACAGATGGTCATAATTCCTTGTTGTCCTGCCTTTTCTGGGCTGGCAGTGAGGCTGTGGAGGTGAGTGTGACTAATAAATGTCCACTCACATCTCTGCAGGTCATCTTAATTTAATTTTGCAGCCATCTCTTGTTACCTGACTTGATGGAAATCAAGGCTGAGTTTTGTTTTACAGCTTTTTTTTTTCCTCCCACATACTGCAGGCTCATTGCATTTTGTAAAGTATTGTCAGAGGGCTTGGAGCAGGCCCTGCATCCTTGCAGTCATTTGGATCAGGCAGGTGGATTCAGGAGTTCAGGGGAATGCCAAAACCTCTCTTCCTGCTTGAGTTGCAGCTATTCCATACTCTCCCTTAGAGAAGAGATGGAGTTTTAAAGAGCTGCTGAGGGTAAAGTTCCTCAGTTGGGGGTGATGGTGCCTCCTGCACATGGAATCTGAGCACAAAAATTTGCCCCAAGGTGGGGTGTATATTGGTAATACATTCAAATATATTAATTGCCAGCTGATACAACAGTAAAACCCACCCTTAGTGCACCAAATCCTATAATATGTGGTGGTGGTTCTTGGTGGATTTAAGAACTAGGTTGACTTTTGAGTTTTACAGTTGGGCCACACTTTCCCTGTCCTCCAAAGTTGCTCCCCTGGATGTATTTATCAGATGAAAGTGAACTCTAAAGAGTCTGTTTGTGGCCTGTAAGATGTTATTAATCACAGGGACACCAGTTCTTGCTGCAGATTATCTCCCCCAGCTGGGAGATTGATCTGTCTCTCTAGTTATCACAATCAAGACTCATTCCCAGGGAATGGGATGACTTTACTAACCTTCACATTTATAAACTTCAGCCATGAGTAACAGCAATAATAATGTCCTAATTCCTTCTTTGTGATGGGCTGGGAAGTAATCAAATGGGCATGTTTTGTTGACACAGTTTTGAGATAAATGCTGTTTTGTTCTGAAGCAAAAAGGTTAATGATGCTGACAGTCTCATTTGCAGTATAGATAGAGAGGGGGTGTATTTAAGAGACCAAGACTGAGTTTTTAGGAGCCAAAATCTCCTCCCAGAGTGTGTTCAAGGAGTTTGTGTCCATTTGCCCCAGGAGAGCTTTCCTGATCCCCTTTGGCACTGTTCCCTAACAAGTCAGCCCTGTCCCACCACTGTGACTGTAAATCCCACCTCTTCCAATGCTCCCTCAGAGCCCTTGGAGTCTGTGGCAGCTGTGGAAGACCAAATGTGGGGTGAAGGAACTCCTGCTGCAGCTGCCTGGGGTGTGGTTAGAAGGGGGCATTAAGGGATTTAAGGCACAAGGTTTACAGACCAACTTGGTGCTGCAGGTAGAAACTTTTTAGAGTCTGAAAGAATCATCAGCCATATTTTAACCAAATGGAACAAGTGTGGGTGCTTCACTGTCAGTTCAAGTGGATGTGCACATTTAGAGCCTCTCCCAAAACTTTCAATGGGTGGAAGATTCCTTTGTGACAAGTGAGCCCTTCTCTGCAGCAGCTCAGTCTCTGGATTTTGACCTGTGCCGCTCTGGCTCAGAATTCAGTTTACATTTTAAAATAAGCTTTAGAAAAACCAGAATTTAACTTCTTAGGGACCACTTCCAGCATGAAATCTGGATTCGTCACAGGGACACTTCACCCTTCTCCTTTCCTCTGTTCAAATCTTTATTCTCTGGCTATTGGAAAGAATTGTAATTCCTAAACAACATTACAAGAGATCTTGAGGTTTGCTTTTTCTCAGTAAGGCTTGTGAGTGCCCAAGGGGAAAAAAAAGAAGGGAAAAAAGCCCTAAAAATAACTTTAGAGGTAACCTCTGGCTGGATGTTGTGAGTGTGGTGTGATAGTGGCTTCCTTTGTAAGGGGATTTGAGATCTCTGAATGAAAACTGCTTACCCTGAGGGTAGATCCCATATCCTCTGTTGTTCTTTAGTGGGTTGTAAATTAATCAGTAATTGGTTGGTGAAGCAGAGCTGAGAGATATAAAAAATGCTGGCAGACTGAAGTGCCCCTTGAGTGTTTGGCTTCCTCTTTATTTGCAGCCTTTTCTTGACCACATCCATTGTTGGAGGTGACCAGCACTGGCCCTGCAGCCCCCCCAGCCCCTCTGCTCAGCATTTCCCACTACCTTGGTGCTCCATTTC